AACTCACAAACATATGATTAGAGAAATGTAAATGTACACAAAGCTTACATATATATAATAATGATATATATACAGTAAGTAACATAAATATTCGGCTTTTTTATTTTTCAACTTCAACCGCCTATAAAACATGTAATATTAGTTAAAATTAAAAAGTGGAAATTCTATTTTAATTGTAGATTGAAAAATTACCTTTCCGATAAAGTATATTTCAATATAGTAGATTTATTATAACTAACAAAATTATACATAAGCCGAAAAAGCCCACAATTTTGGCGTCACTTTAATATTCGGTTTCACATTTAACACACATTTAAGCTGTTCTAAGACCATGACCCTAAATAAAAGCCCACATAATCGAGTCCTGGCTACTGTGCAGTTACCCAAAACTTTTGGAAACAAATCCTCAGCCGCCAGATCTGACCTCTTTTCAAAATGTTGGAGCCAGGTAGACCCCCGAGGGCACAATGCATCAATATCTTAAATATCTTCTTAAAGACATGGCTACAGGAGAAGTGGGAAAAATTGGCTTCAAGGACACAAAATCCCCTGCGAAATCCCCTGAACCCTTCGAGCAAATGATATTTCAATAACAATTTGCACAGCCACACACAGGCGAATGCGCTTGGGTTGCGCTGCAGTGTTGCCAATATTATGAGAATTTATTTGTTGAATAATTTAATTTCTAGACGTATAATCTTAATAAAACTTTCAGAACGTAATCATAATGTTCAAATGTATGTATATTCTAAGTCTCTAGTATTTGAAATGTGTTTTTTACAAATATGAGGTGAGGTAAATTTTAACAAAAATCGAAATTGTATGAAATGAATATATTTTTAAAATTTGGAGACTCTAGCTTTAAAGATGTAAGAGATATAATTTTATAACTGATTTTTGATAGGGTTTTTTACCGATATTAAAAAGCCGGAATGAGTTATCGATTTTTAGTGATAAACTCGATATGCGCGCTACATATACGGACATTTAAAAAAAAAAAATTGAAGTCTCTAGCTCGACGCGCTCAAACATACGGACAGGCCGACAAACGGTCAGACAGACAGGGCCAAATCGACTCAGATCGTCGTCCTGATCAAAAATATATATACTCTGTGGGGTCTGCCACGCCTCCTTCTGCCTGTTACATACATTTTATCAAAACCATTATACTCTCATTTCTCATATTCAATGAGTTCAGGGTATAACAAATCACATTTTTAGGAAATAAAACGAAATTATCTCTTTATTATATGTTTACTTTTTAGTAATTCGAAAATGAGCTATACGTTGTTCTTGAAATGTTGTTTTCCAAGCTGAATATTATGAAGTTCTGGTTGTTTTAAAAACATAGTAAATGAATTTGGAGCATTTGCTGAATATATAAATTATCAAGGAGCCCTTGCAAATTCAATCATAGTATATGGCATCGTAACCAAATCGAGATTGTTTCAGTATCACAGAGTAGGTCTAACAATTCGGTCGACATATTGAGAGAAAAGTACGAAAAAATTAAAATAATTGTGCATTTCGTGTAAAATTTTTAAACAAAATCGCGCTGTAAATCATTTCGCTGTGCTAAATTAGAAGTTTATCTCTACATAGTTATTATATAAATCATTTTGTCTGTTTTTCGAGCGCATAGCTGCCCCGTCTGAATCAAAAGAAAAGAAGCCACAAAGATGTCGGACAATTCAGCTGTCTCTGGCGTACTGAACGCTGTTCTGTGCGGCGTTACTGGGTATGGGTGCTACGCGATGCAGCCGCAGGAACATCCATTTGCGTTCTCTGCCTGCTTGATTGGCTTTTGCCATGGTCTGCTAGGGCTGATCGACATTTTCGTTGGAAATGAGAATACACACAAAGCCAAGAAGACGACTAATGCCATTATGGAGATTGTTCCCTTGCCTCTCGTCAATATGGAGCTATTCTTTGGCGGCGAAAGTAACAACATTGCATTGGGACACGGGTTGTTCATTGTGCCTATGGCCATATCTGTACTGGTCGGCCTAATCAAGGGCGAGGGCGAGGAGGTGGACGGAGCGATTGATACATTGAAGCTATTGACTATGCTGGGCAACATAACCTCTCTCTGCTATCTGGCCATCAACGAGGGCTCCACCATCATGGGCGGCATGGCCGTGCTTGCCTTCCTTACCAAGATTGGATCCGAGTATCTGGAGACGCATCTTGAAGGCTCCGGCGATCCAGTCAAATACCTCAGCTGGTCTGGATTCTACTTGCTGGCCACCTTCGCCGTTGGCGGCGAGAAGTGAGTCGCTTACCCAAAGTTATGAATGAACCATACCCAAAAATGAAGTAGCACAAAACAAGTAAAACAATTCCGTTAGGCCTAGTTAGTGATTTGGAGTACAGTTATGGATATACATAAATCGATTTGCACATTACCCGGATTGACAAACTGAGAAATTGATTAACATGCGACTGCCGTTTGAATTTGATGATTAAATATCTTAAAGCGAATAGACGTCCGGACTTAACATTGTTCCTGAAACTCAAGCTCAAATTCAATCATGCGTAGAAAAATTAATTGAAGAATACTTTCATATGTTATGAAAATATTTCATCTTGATTCACCTTAGATATAAACCAAAATTTCAAATAATTAGAATACATTTATCAATAACCAAAAACGAACATTTGTGTTTAGTCAACATCTAAACTTGGCCATTGAAAGCCCTTTTTGATGACACTTTGAAGAGCTTGTCTCTTGCTAGAAGAGTCCAGTCTAGCCCATGTAAGCCAGCTAGGCTATGACGTGTCGTCTAAGGAAGATAAGCTTACACGCAGACTGTTACAGAAGATAAGGCCAGATAAGGCTGTAGTCTAGCCTCTTAATGCTATTCCTTGATAGCTTCGACAAGTTTGGGACATTATTTATGATATATATTTGATATATATGTTCATATTGCTATTATTGCCTTCCATTGTAGTCTAGTGTGTACAGCAGCGGTCCGATGCGGTAAACATTCTAACAGGCCTGAGAAGCACTTGGGGGTATTTCACACAAATTTACGCAAGTTCATTGAGCGAGTGTGTTGGTCGGTTTTCTGGCTGCTTGGGTGAGCTGGCTCTTTTTTCAAGTGTATTCAAATAGCCGTAATCATCTCTGTTGTAATAAATCTAATTTCCCACAATAGCCGGATCGATGGACGAAGGGTTCAACAAACGAACCCACAAAATAATTCGATTTATGCAAACTTTCAGGAGTCTGTCGAGTGGGCACTACTCTCGAGTGGCACTCTCTGTGTAGTCACCCGGATGTAAGAGTGAACTTTGTAAGTACGTATCAATATATGTGCCTTTGTGTGTGTGGAGCAGATAGAAATAGATAGTGGAACATAATGGCCATGTCTGGGCCTTATCGTGGGCCAGCTAAATCAATGTCAAATGGCAATTAGTTGACTGCAGATGACTTCATCGCACCATATTGGGCCCACTCGTAAGCCTTTTAGCGCATGCGAGGCTTATGGGCTTAGGTTTCACTAACTATTGAGCTGGAGCTCCGAGTTGTGGCTGACGCTGGTCCAGTAGCTCGGGTCCAAGACAGTGACGGCCAATTACTTATGATAACAGACATTTTTGTTGTTTTTGTTATTGCTTTTCTGTAACAACCAGTTCTTGATTTTTCGTCAGCTGCCAATCAAAATATCAAAATCAAAATCAAAGAGACAAATGTCGAACCGAGAGTCTGACAAGCCACCCAACTATCGTCAGCTGCACCCGCAACCACACCGGCTGCCGCCAGTAGCTCCAGTTCCACTTCCACTTCGACTCACCGCATCATAAGTCATAAAATAAACAATAAACAAGCTCAAGACGCAACTAAATGACTTTACTACGACAACTTTGGGGCGTCATGGCCATTGAACAAGCGGTGTGCAGCTCCAAGGCTCGGACAAAAGAGGCGGTAGGGCTCTGCCAGAGGGGCATATCGGAGGAGTCTGTCCGTCCGTCTTATGGCTATTTGTGCGTGCTACACGACGCGTGTTGACATTAGCTCTTAAAATTTATTAGTTTTTATTTTCATTGTGGCGTTATGGGCTTTAGTTTGGGCCAAGCCTTTAGTTAGGGGTTAATGGAATTCCGTCGACAGACATTGACAAGTCATTGCAATGATTACAAATACAATGTTCCATTCTTCTATGCCCAAAAATAGTAATGACTCTGACTCTGATCACACAAAGAACTTCAATTCTAACATAGTTATTACAGAGCCCAACCATTCATTCAACATGTTCTAGGCAGATTGTAACGAAATTTGAAAATATGCGACCTAAAATTTCAACTCGAAGCCCTACGTTGGGACCAGACCAAAATAACTTATAGCAGCAGTCTCCTGCCTAAGGCCCCAAAGAGTCCAATTATTGTTTTACATTAAGTTAAATAGATGTTCCGACGGAAGTTTCGTATATTAAAAATCATCCATATCTTCAAAAGACCTAGTTCTTCTCTACGCATAAGTAGTTTTCACTAGAGTCTGATATGGGAAAGCTCAAAATAATTAGGTTTCGCATTAATATTAGGAATGCGGTTTTATAGAGATTAAACTCAATTTCTATTTCCTGCTATTTAAATTATTTTCATTTACATAAATTCTAAATTTAGCATGTAAACCTTTTTGCTTACATTCAAAGTTGTAACTTAAAATACTCCAAAAGACGCAACCTGATGACACGATTTTGATGTTGTTCCTCTCAATCCATTCGAACAAAAGTGAGTCACAAATATGAAGGTTCAGATATGATAAGGTCAGATCAGACCTTACCAATAGTAGGTAATCCATCAGACATTCACTGCATTCAAATTGTTCTCAATCATTAAATTGTTAAGATAATTTTCCATTTTCTTTATATACATATCCTGATACGATACGTTATATATGTATATATTTATACATATGTGATGAATATAACGGCCGGTGTTATCTGAGGTGCTGCTGATGGTACTGTCAACGGACTTCTCAACATCTTATCTGGGTGTATATCATATAAGTAGGCCCTCTTAGCCCTCGTAGAGTTGCAATCGTATTATTTGTTATATTATTTATTAGATCGTTTCTTGACAACAGTCCACAATGGAGAACGTTTCTGTTCTGGTTTCGTTTCGTGGACTCTGGGTCTTGGCATGGGTATCGCTCTTATCAGTAATGCTCCAGTTTTTTGGCTGCCTCTTGGCTTGCTTCAGATATGTAACTCATAAAAGCCATGAGGCCTGTTGGAATTCTGTTGGAATCGAATTCCCATTTGGTGATTAAAAGCGGCAATAAAATCAATTCAAAGCTGAAGTTGAACGCGTCGAAAATCATTTATATATGTATGTATGTGCCTATCAAACGCAATTAATTGCACCGCGCCCAGAACTTCCATTTTAATCAAATTGACAAAAATGCAAAGTTAGCCCATGTGTTGCAAGGATGAGGACGGAGGGGGTGAACGTTAGGTGTTTCGCTTGATGCACTTCAATTGGGCAATTCAATAATTTATTTGTATCAACAGCGATTTGGAATCGATCAATGCTTCGAAAACACAAACAGAGACGACGACGGAGAGAGGAGAGCTTAGAAAAGAGAGAGGGACTGAATAATACTTTGTTATTGTATTTGACCAAATCGCATATTTATTTCATAGGGCCAGCAACGGACGACTCATTGGCCAAACGCCTTAACATTCATCAGGCATTCCGGTTTCTGAAGACCTCACCGGGACAACAAGAATGCCGCCCAGAAAGAGTGATACATACATATGTATACAAATACGTAGAGGGAAAGAAAGAGAGATGGAGAGAGTGAGAAAGAAAGAGCAGATATGATGACGATGACCCATAACGCCAAGTTGTTGGATCGTAAACTTCTCGCTTCATGGCAAGCAAATCGAGAACTTAAGAATGCGAATGCTGTAAACTTTTGGAATTAGAATGTAAAGTGAAAGGAGTTCTGCAGGTTAACAGCCAAAGAAACAGAGGCAAAAAACGTAAAAGAAAATAAATAAAAACCCGCTGAAGCCAGCTATGGGATTCCAGAGTCACGGCCATTGCCGGTTTAAGAATCTCTTCGGAGCTTCGGGATTTAGGAGAGCTCGGGGAGCTAATGGAGAGAGAAGCCTCTCCGACCGAGATAGAGATATAGATATAGATATAGATATAGATATAGATATAGATATAGATATAGATATAG